TGGTCGAAGTTTCTTTATCCGACGTTTCCTCCTCCCCCATGTCCTGGACAACATGTCAGAACAAGCATGACGGGTCGAGCAGACGCTGACCTTGGCTGACGATAGTCGCCCTTCTCCTCCTCTCCTCTCCTCCTCCGAATCTTCTTGCATCCTTGCTTCCTCTTCTTCTATCCTTCTCCTCCTCTCCTGCTCTCTGCTCTCAACTTCCCTACTCGCATCTTCCCTTCCCCTCCTCTCCTCTCCCCTCCTCTCCCCTCTCCTTCCCTCCTGCTCCCTCTTCACGTCATGCGAGCCCTCCGAGCTATCAGTTGAACAGCTGATCACGATCAAAGACTGCTCCTCCTCCTGCTGGACAGACTTGGACACTCTCTCCAGTTTCGGGAGACCCTTCCTATACCCGCTCCTCGCGCCTCTCCCTCCCTCCTCCTCGTCCTCGTCCTCGTCCTCGTCCTCCTCCTCGTCCTCGTCCTCGTCCTCGTCCTCCTCCTTGTCAATGTCATCGAACATGCCATGCTCCAGGCAGCTGCTCCATCTCCTCTCAACTTTGAACTTCTTCCCCCCCACCACCAACACACGAATCTTATCCTCGATCGCGCGCTGGTTCCTTGCGTACATCACCGCTGGGAGGAGGAAGGTAACCCTGGACAAGTTTCCCCCTGCCTCCCCCGACAGTCTCCTTAGCGCTGTAAACAGCCTCCTTGAACACTCGGAGAAGTAGTCCCACAAGATACAAATCGACGTGCCTCCTCCTCCCCTGTCCAAGGTTCCTCCCTCCAACACCTTCCAGCCCGTCTCCGGCTCCTCGAACAAGGTCCTCTCCTCCTCCTCCTCCTCGTCCGTCTCGTTGCGGGGCGGGTAGAAGAGCACTGCGTCCGCTCGCAGGTAGTCAACGCAGTCCACAAGGAACCGACTGGCTCTCCGAGGCCCGACGGCTCGCCGGCCCCGATGGACGGAGAGCGAGTCAAGAGAGATTTTGACCTCCGGCTTCAACGGTAGCAACACCCTGATGTCAAACTGATCGCAGACCTTCCCAGCAAACTCCCAGCTGTCGTCAAGCTCCTCGTCCTCTCCGACCTGGAGCCTTCTCTCACTCCCCTCTATCATGCACGACACCCTCGGCACCAGACGCTCCTCCCTCCTCCTCCTGCTCTCCTCCAACAGGCAGGGCCAGACGTCGCTGCAGCTGGACTTGTCCTGGGACGTGACCACGTCGTACACGTGAACCCCGTTGATAAGCACGCGGACCCTCCTCTCCCCTCCTCCTGTCCAGCAGGGCTCCACATGGAGTCTGCCCAGGAGGCTCGGCTCTGCCTTGTGGAAGAAGAAGCGGTTGACTTGGAGCACAGCGAGCCCGCTCGCCTCGCACAGACGGTAGAACTCTCCCTCCTCCCCGAACCTCTTGGGTGGGAACAGAAGTCCCTTGAGGACGGTCGACCGGACGTTGAGCAGGTAGAAGGAGGAGATGTCGCTGCTGATACCGAAAGCTCCCTTCCCTTCCCTCCTCCCCGCATCTCCTCTGATCCCGATCACTGCATATCCGTCCAGGTCCCCTCGAAAATCCTCGACGTTTGACACCGTCCTGTCAACCTCCAGCGGATCTAGAGCAGCCTCTCTCGCCTTCAGCCCCCGCACAGCTCGGCAGTCTGCCGACGTGCCGGATAGCTCAAGGGATGAGGAGAAGAACGAGCGGGTCCAGGGGCAGGCAGGTCGGTTGCAGCTGGGGTCATAGAGAGCCTTGCTGCTCCGCTCGTCGAACATTCGCTGTGTAGTGAGCATGATGCGGGCGAACGAGCAGGGAAGGAGGGGCTGGCGCCTGGGGGGGGCAGACGCGAACGTCGCGTCCAGGTCCTCTTCGTAGCAGTCGATGACGTCATCGTCGAGCACCCAGACCCTCTCTAGCCCCAGCAGGTGCGCAAAGATCTGGATGAACATCCTCGTGTAGCCCATCCCGCCCGTCTCAGGCGTCAGCACCAGCGGCCCTCCTGCCCTGTCCAGCTGAGCTGAGAACTGCTCCTCACTGAACCCGATGCTCCGCATGTCCGTGGTCAACGTCATCCGCCGAGGCATCGAGACCACTATGAACTCGCCGCCAACGTCGTTGAGGTATGCGCTGAACTCTCCTCCTCCCTCCTCCTCGTCCGGCCTCACTACCAGTACCTGTCGCACAGGTACCTTCCTCCCTCCTTCCTTGAACGCCTGCGACCTGTCGAGATAGGCCAACTGCCCCGTCGTCCTTGAACTCTCAGAGTCTCGTCCGTGGGACGGGGTGAACACCCAGTGGCGGATCGATCCTTCCGCCTCCTGCTCCACAGCCCCTGCCACCTTCCCCTCCCAGTCCAGCCTGAAGTAACCAGTCGTCTCCTCGTTCAAGAACGGGAAGGAGATGGACGGCCAGTCGCGCCTGTCGGGGCCGAAGAGTTTCCGAAGATCGAATCGTCGCATGACGTTTGCAAGTCTCAGCAGTTTCACCTTGGCCCCCTTGAGGTAAGAGTCGAGCGATCGCGAGCAGCGGCCGGCATACTCATGCTTGGCAACTCGACCTGCCCTCTCCTCCCCCTCCTCCTCCTCCTCCTCCTCCTCCTCTGGATGGATCTTCCATGTGATACCATGAACATCCCACAGCTTCGTCTGACAAGGCAGGAAGAGACTTCCGTCCTCCCTCACCTCTATCAGCTTCTCGTCGTAGCGAGTCTTCAGCCCCCTGCTCAGCAGTACAGCGACAGCTCGAGAGGACCCGCTGCTGTTGTCCCACTCCAGGACCCTCCGCAGGCCCGCGGCGTCGGACACCCTAATTATGACTCCTCCTGCCATTTCCTCCACTCTGATCGGGCATTCCGCCAACCCTCGCAGCGAACTGTCGAGCTGCTGGAGGGTTTCCCCTTGTACACACTCCCCCTCCAAGTTGTCAGCCGTCGCAGCCTGCTGCAGCTTCCTTACGTAGCTCCGCTTCCACGAGGACGAGGACGAGGACGAGGACGAGGACGAGGACGACCAAGAGGCGGGAGAGGAGGAAGAGCGTTCCTCCATCCTGCACTTGATCAGCAACCTCAACCTCTGTAAGATGATCAGCTTGTAGTATCTCCCTTCCTTCATCTCCCTCTCGTCCACTTGCTGCCTCGCCAGGTCCTCCCAGTACGGCAACTCCCATGCCCTCCTCTCCTGCCACCGCTCGTCCTCGATCTCCTGCCAGCTCCCAAGTGGCGGCAGGCAGGCGAAGGCAGACGAGGAGCTGCTGCTGATCTCCTGGCGGAGGAGGTGGAGGAGACAGAGGTACGCTCCTGTCTTGCCGGCCTGACACTCGGCATGCAGGAGGAAGCGTAGCCTGTGCCTCCCCCTCTCGTCAGGGTCCTCACACCAGTCGCAGTGCTCGATGGCAGCCGTGCCGACGAGCTGCGAGGAGGAGGGGAGGAGGAGGAGGAGACGGCTACGTGCTTCATCCTGTAGTCATGGAGCTCGTTTTCGTCGTAGTTGATCTTGAGGTCCTTTCCCTTCTCCCTCCTCCTCACGTGCGTGTGGAGCCTCGACTGTAGCCTGATACACTTCCACACCTCCCGGCTGCTGACCTCCGCCACCTCCACCGCTTCTCCGATCGCGTCGTACAACCGCTCGCTGACAAGAGCACAGGGCAGCGCGTGCTCCAGCTCCCTGAGCTCTCCCCCGTACGGGCAGTTGCTGCTGCTCGTAAGCCACTCTAGACTTCCAGCATCCCGCACGATCGTGTAACAGCTTCCTGCTCCGAACCTGCTGGGGTCCGTGGACTTCGAGCGATTCCTGACCCGGATCAAAGAGGACACGCGGTCATGGTCGACGATCTCAAGGCATCTGCTCTCCCGCCAGTTGAAGCTCGAGCTGCCAGCTCGACTGCAGCTGGGGAAGTGGATGAGCATGCAGCCAGTCAGATCCAAGTCCGTCGTATCCTCTCTCGCTCCTCCTCCTCCTCCTCCTCCTCCTCCTCCTCCTCCTTCCTCTCCTTCCAGTCTGACATCCTTCATCTCATACAGTTCACTCGACCCTTCGTCTTTCAGCATCAAAACCTTCCCCGACCCGACTACCTTCAGCATGCTCCTCCTTGTCCAGCTCCTCCGACTCCAGGCCATCCCCACCAGCCGCATCCTCCCTCCTCCTGCCTCCGCCACCTCCATCACCTCCTCCCCCTGCTTCGCGTACACAGCGATCGGCCTCCCCCCCTCCTCGAACCACTTCCGCTGATCCGCTAGCGCCATCGCATCGTCTACCGAGCTGAACGGCAGTGCTTCCCTCGTGCCCGCATGCCTGCTCAGCCTCCCCAACTCCTGCAAGGATGAAGTGAGGAGACGAGTTTCATGGAGGAGGGTTTGAGAATGTTACAAGGGTTGGAGAAGCAAGGAGAGATGTGAGAATTCAGAGAAAAGACGCAGTGGGCACGCAGGAGGAGGCAGAGGGGAAAGGGGAGGAGGGGACGAAGGACGAAAGACGGAGGAGCAGGAGCAGGAGCAGGAGCAGGAGCAGGAGCAGGAGCAGGAGCAGGAGGAGCAGGAGGAGCAGGAGGCACCTGAATCACAGACGTGGTATCTTCCGACCATCTCACTCGCATGTCAAGACAGTCAAAGGAGTGAGGAAAAGTCTCCCCCATCCTCCCCCTCTCCGTCAGGAACAGAATCCCTGGTAGCCCCTCGAGGTCCCTGCACTGGATCCCCTCCCCCTCCCCCCCCTCCTCCCCCCTCGCCTCCTCCTCCCTCTCCCTCGCACGTAGCAGAGAGCTGAGAGAGCGAGGGGGCCGATCCCTGTTGTACACGATCGGCTGCTTGCGGAAGTACGGCTCGATGCCGTCGAGGAGAGGGCAGCCGCCATGGTTGCTGATGACGGCAAAGGGAGGAGCCTTCTTGCCGAACAGCTCGTCTCGGTTCTTCCTCAGGCCGCGGACGATCTCGTCCGCTTGCTCGACGCTGAAAAGCCTGACAACTTTCATGTGTCCGCAGAGCCCGTTGGGCAGCCGGTTGTGGAGGAGGAGGTCCTTGACCATGGCGTCGGTCTCGTTCAGCTGGAAGAACCTGCTCTCCTCAGCATGCACAACCCGGTCGTCGCCTCCTCGAGCCTCGTGGGTCAACTTAGCGAAGAAGGCGTCGGCGAGAGGAGCGGCGGCAGAGAGAGGAGGGGGAGCGGAGGAGGAGGAGGTGGAGGTGGAGAGCCGCAATATCGCAGCCTTGATCTCGTTCAGGAGGACCTCTGCTGCCTTCATCACCCCCAGCGAGCATCGCTCTGCCATGTCCCTGTACTCCTTTTCCAGCTTCATCTCTCTCAGCTTCTCGAGCTGGAAAAACTTAGACGCTTGCTCGAGGCTCCGCAGCTCCTGGGCCTTTGCATCCCACCGAAGTTTGCGAAAGTATAGCAAAGACAGCAGGACGTCTGCAAGCCAGACATGCTCCCTCAAGATCACCTCCCCCTTCTTCTTCCCCCGTCCCTTGCAGTGCTGCTCCATGATCTTTGAAAGCTCCGGATCCCCCCGTATCAGCTGATCCCGCCGCCGCAGTCCTCCTTCCTTCTCCGAGTTCTCACCGTCGTCAGGCAGGATACACTCCTTGAGGATGGCTGATGGCATCGTCCTGAGAAAGTCTTCCAGCCCAAAGAAAGCACATCGACCCGACTGCCTCCTCCTCCTCCATCGCACAACGTGGAGTTCCTCCCCCCCCGCTCCTCCTCGCTTCTTCCTCCCCATGTCACTTAGCTTGCTGGCCGAGACGATCGACCGCAGAGGGTCGTCGTCATCGAACTTCACGTACCGCTCGGGGATCCTGCTGTGCCAGGTCAGGTTAGCGAAGGGGGTAGCACTGACGAGGAGGACGATGAAGTTGCGCTGGCGCAGCAGCAGCTCGTCGTTGACGAGCATGTCGACAGGGCCCCCCTTGTTCAGCCCCCAGTGCGACTGGTCGGCGATGATGACGAAGAGGGTCGATGGGGGCCCCCTACGTATCGCCTCCCTCAGCTCCTCTACCGCCCTGTCCTGATGGGGAATCACCCTCCTTCGGAGCTGGGACGACATGGGTTCGTCGGGGAACAGAGCTGCTCGCATCTGCGACATGGTCTGCTGCCTCAGCGACCAGACGTTGGGCACGAGGATCGCAAATTCAAGCTTGCTGAAGTCCTTCAGGCTCCCCTGCTGCTCTGCCAGGACGAACTTGAGCCGATTGAGCAACCTAACGGCAACCGCGTGCTGCTCGGGGAAGACCCTCCCCATCCCTCGCAGCGCTGCTTGAGCCATTCTGGCGTCGTCCGAGGAGACAGCTCGCTGAAGTTCTTCGTCTCCATCGTCCCATGGAGCATGCGCTGCCCCAGCTTCGATCCTGAACTTCATCACCAGCTGACTTGACGTCTCTAGCTCTATCGCTCTACCCGACTGCTCCCTGTACCGGCGCACGACATCTCCGAAGAAGCTCCCTGCCTCTCTGCTGTAGGGAGGACAGTCTCGCACCCCTCCGTCGATCAGATTCACCTCCTTCAGCTTGATCTTGACAGGTCGAGGGTGAGTGAAGCTGCTCGACTGAAACGCGTTCACCACAGCCTGCTCGAACGAGCCCAGGCTGAAGTCCTCCAACTCCTCCTCCTTCACCTCCATCGCTGACCTGTATCCTTTACACCCTCCACTCCCCAAGAGCTCGAGCCTGCAGGGCCTCTTCGACACCTCCTGCCTGATTCTCTCCTTCTCCAGAGCTGCTACCTGGCTGTCAAACGCCTCCACGGCCCCTGGTGCTTTCAAAAGGATCAGAATGCCAACAGTACGATGGTGGAGCTCCGGCCCTTCGTTCACGCGGATGATCTGAACAGAAGCTGCTGCAGGATCCTGCGGCACTTTGCCAGGAGCTCCTTCCTCCTCCTCCCGAGACACGTCGACCACACGAACCCTGTCGTCGTCGGTCACACTCCGCCATGACCAACGAGCATCCTCATCCCCTTCAAGGCTCGTCGTCACGTCGTAGAGCTTCTTCTTGGACCTTGCCAAGGACTGATTCATCCTCCTGAGGTCTTCAGGAAAGTTCTCCTTCCTCCAGTACGAGCAGAACATCTGGAAATGGTTCATCTCCCTCGACCACTCCTTCATCGCGCTCGCGTCTTTCCGTTGCATCCCTTTTGCCTTCTCGATGCAGTCCAGCATGCTTGCCGACTCCTCCGAGCTCAAGACCTTGACGAGAGCTGGCAGGAACAGATGGTCGAGCATCATGCTCTGAAGCATCATCTTCTCATGTCGATCTGAATGCGACACATGCTCGGATACCTTCACCCCGTACATCTCGCAGTCAAGGGAATGGCACAATGCCTCCAAGATGGAATAATCATCGTCGCTGCCCGAGTGGATTCCTATTCCTCTACAGCAGCTCATGGTTGTCCAATCTCGCTAAGAGGATCAGCTCTTAGTTCGCGTCATTCCTTGCAGCTCCAACTTCGACGGCCTTTCCAAAGGTTACCATCTCGATGCTGCTGCTCTTCATCATCGCTCTCTCTCTCTCTAGCCTCTGACTATGAGTCTTCCTCCTGTCCCTGTCACTCTAGTCGCCTCTCATGCTCTCCTCTTACCGCCTCTCTTCCTCTCCTCCTCTCCTCCCCCCTTCCCAGTTCGCACATCCATCGCGTTCCTCTATTGGTCTCCCTCAACAACTTTGCGAACTCAAAGGGGTGGGGTACGAGAAGATTTTATTGGGGTAGGGTACTCAGTTATCCTATTCCACTACCCCTTTTATCAGGTAAATTCTAGGAGGGGTGGATATGAAAAGAGAAATTAGGGGTGGGGTGATCGAGTTGATGGGGTCCCTGACCCACCAGGAAGAAATCCGGGCTGGGAAGCTCTTGGAGCCTCCGACAGTCTCAGTGACGGCGCCGCCGGCCCGGGCCGAGTCCGGACTCGGAGTACCACCGGGCCCCCGGCCGATCGGATCGGACTCCCGGAGCCTGTCCGGACTCCGGACAACTCCGGGACCCGGCGAGGCTCCCGGGGGCCCCGGGGACTCCGCGGCCAGAGGGTCGGCCGTCCGTCGGCCGGCCCGGCGGCGGGCAGCCGCGGGCCGGGCGGGCGGCCCGGGTAAATCATCATGCCGAACTTCGGAACTTAGTAAATCAGTGCTGAAAACTTTACGAGTTACCGTGACCAGGACGGTGACCGGGTGACTGGTGATCTTTAACTCAATTTTGAGTCACTGAGAAGTTGACGCCCACGGGTCACCGGGTCCGACAGTAGTACTGTGACAGTACCGTTCTGGTGTGCCATGATGATCTGACCGCCGGGGCTCGGCGGCCCTCCTGGACCCGCCGCCCCTGTACGGGGGCGCTGGCCCCAGAGTCGGACCATCCGATAATCCGACCGGATCGTCGGAGCGGCTCAGCGGCTGTCACAGTGGCCTATATCTGGCAGTAGCTATATTATTGTTCCGAGTTCCGAGGCCTCGGGAAGTTCCGCAACGAGTTCCGCTCAGGGAACGCCGACCAGGTCACGAGGGGGCTGGACTAAAATATTTATAGAGGTGTGGTAAAGAGCTTGAGACCTGGCGGAATTTCCGTTCTGTACCGGATGGCTGTCACAGTGTGGTAACAAGCCGGACTGAGTTGGTGTGTGGTAAAGAGGCCTGTCGCCTCCCCCCCTTCAAGTGTCAGGTTCCCCCACCGCCTTCCAAACCACACACGCTCACCCACAACAGTCCGACATGCTCATGCTGCAGCCTTCCTTCGATCTCCTTTCCCTCTCCCCCCTCTCCTCCCCTCTCCCTGCCTCCTCCCACCTCCTCCTCGACGACTCCAGCTCCGACGGCTCCGACTCCGACTCCGACCTCGAGCTCGCCGAGGTGCTGAGACCCTCGTCGCCTGTGTCAGCCAAGAGGAGGAGCGGCGAGGAGGGGGCGAGGGACTGGAGGAGCGGGCCGTCGAGGGAGCGGCAGCTTGCGGCGCTGAGGCACTGCATCGAGCTTCTGGAGCGAGCAGAGCGGCCGGTGGTGTACGGGGCGACGGGGGAGGCGATGCGGCTGTGAAGAGGAGGAGAGGGTTGGAGGGAGGCGGGATGTAGAGAGGGTGTACAGAGGATGTAGAGATAGGAGGTATGTGCAAGGTGTATGAATAAAAGACACGATCAATGGAGATCATGCGGCTGCAGTATTGTTGTCAACTTCATCAGGAGTTCTTCCAGCTTCGATGATTACATAGATATCTTTCTTCTTCTGAATCTAATGCAGTCCACCAAACAAGGCCCTTTCTTGTGAGGACATGGATCGTCAGACCAGTTGTCTGCTCGTTAGACTAAGGTGCTTTGTGGCTTGTTCATGGAAACAACAATCATCATCACCGGAAAAATTCATCACTTCTGCCCAACCACTCGAAGATGCCTGTAGTTTTCAGTTCATCGACTGTCATGCAATACGTGTTTCTCCCAAACATGTCAGCACTCACTCCAAATATATCATGAAGACATCAAAAGTACACGATCATAGCATGTGCTAATCTAGCAGTAGATAAGGCAAACTCGAACCAAAATGGACCTCAAATAGTACAACAGGATCTTTGCAGGCATGGTATTTTTTATTCATACATCTTGCTCGTGGCTCTATATCTACATCCTCTGTACATCTTCATGACACAGTATCGATCAGCTTGTTGCGTTCACGTATCTTCGTCCCTCGTCTTCACAGCCGTATCGCCTCCCCCGTCGCCCCGTACACCACCGGCCGCTCTGCTCGCTCCAGAAGCTCGATGCAGTGCCTCAGCGCCGCAAGCTGCCGCTCCCTCGACGGCCCGCTCCTCCTGTCCCTCGCCCCCTCCTCGCTGCTCATCCTCTTGGCTGACACAGGCGACGAAGGTCGCAGTACCTCGGCGAGCTGGAGGTCGGAGTCGGAGTCGGAGCCGTCGGAGCTGGAGTCGTCGAGGAGGGGATGGGAGGAGGCGGGGAGAGGGGAGGAGAGGGGGGAGAGGGAGAGGAGATCGAAGGAAGGCTGCAGCATGAGCATGTGCGACGAGGGTGCTGTGGGGTCAGGTCTGCTGCGGGTGATGTAGGGAGAGGGCGGGGACTTGAGGTCACGAGGGAGCGGTTAACGACTTCTTGTTGTGTAGTAAACTTGGGGATGAACTCTTTGGGGGTAACGTGACTTGGTACGAAACCTGACTTCCACGTAAATTTCCACTCGGAAATCACCACCCCCTACCCCGCGGAGTATCTGTTTCCACCCCTCACAGCAATTGCCTGTACAGATCGGAAAGTATTTGAAAATTCTCGCTAAAGCTTCAAATTGCAACCTATCCAAGTTTTGGAACCCGAACCTGCCTCCATATGACCTCTTCATCGTCAACTTCCGGACTTTACTACAGCACGTTATCTTCTTGACTACAGCTGTCACTGACCTGACTAACCGTAACCTTTCGGCTCGGATGCTGCTTCCCAGTCCATGTATCCTAGTTGTTTTCACTTAACTTTGAGTAAAGTATAAAGCATTTTTTCACCTGTAGTACTACTGTACGGTGATTTCCCGGCCGGTCGGACAGGGCCGACGGTCCCCTCACCCCGGGCCACGGTTCAAAGTTTCCGGGCTGTCACAGCGCCGGCCGCGGCTGCAGTCACGCGGCTGCACGGCCCGGCACACTGGCCTGACGTCACGGTCCCGGCGAGTCACCGGTGGCGAGGCGCCGGGCCCTCCAAGTTGCCAGGTTGTTCGGAACTTCGGAAGGCTGATGACTTGAAGCCTCAACCGTTGAACTTCGGGTTGCCGATGAATGAATTCAAGTTGTCACAGTGTGTTTTACCGTCACGGTGGTACCTGACTGTGACTTCGGAAATCATCAGTAGTGTTGCAGCTCAGCCGAGCTAAGTTGATCACAGCCTGCTGTCCAGCAGCAAGCGATGGCCCATGATCGGCGATACCCGACTGACCGTCAGACTCGGGACGCAACTTTGCAGTTCCTGCCATTAGTATCACTGACGGTTCAACGACGGTCGGATCTGAAGGCGTTCATTGATGTGAGACTTGTTCCACAACGTAGCAAGGTGTGCTTGGGAGAATGAAGAATGAAGCTAGATTTGTTTATGTATCAGCAGAGCAAGATAACGTATGAGGGACTGATGTGTAAGAGTGGCGAGGAAACGAGCAGCGAAGGTGTCCGCTCCTCTCTGAGCTTAAATAGTGTCGTAAATGATCTTGCTATGGTACGGTCAAGTCTCATCCTCATAGTACTCTACCTGTCGTATGTACTGAGTTTACGACTAGCCGCCAGGTCCACCGTACAAGATGCGCCCTGCCACGTTGGGCATGGTACACATGACAGTCGGTATTTGCCTGATGAAGTACCAAAATGTACCCGACACGGTACCTGAGGTATTCCACATAAAACTTCATATTGCCCTTATAGTTTTTGCTATTTCGGCATGATGCTGTTGCATCGTTACAAGTGCAACGATGTCATGGGTACAACATCACTCCCCCTTGCTCGAAACTTGCGTGTCGTCACCGAAGATGAGAGCATTTGTTTGATAGCATACAGCATCGGGCCAACCCATAGGTCCCAATGTCGGTATGAGGGTCTACGTGACCTTTCACGAAAAGGTACCAATCGAGCGAAAATGGCGGAACCAACTTTTCGTCAATGGTCGAGAACGGTGAGTTCCCCTTGTTGTACCCTTGTGAAGGTTCGAGATCTTTGCTCATACCAGCCTTCAAAGCTCTCCAAGTGAACAGATCACGAGGTTTCCACACATGTCTCAACGTTTCTCATCATCACGTTTCAGAACGTGTGATAAGAAGTGCGTGAAACATATTTGAGGTAATAAGAAGTTGTTCTGCATCTTTAAACACACTGCTGACTGTGTGGGTAGGCAGAAATAACCCTGATATTGCTCTTTTGCAATATCAACTAGCTTCAAATGGAAGTTTAGAGCAACCATTGCTGTGTCTAGAGATCAGCATGGCCGACGGCAAACTGTTATTACCAGGTAAGATGGCGCCACATACACAACTGAGTCGTGTGTACGTACATACCATCATAGATTTGGTAAGTTTGTCCGTAAGAGTACGTTTCATACACCCTGGTGGATGTATTTACGCGCCATCGCCCTGATGGATAATCATGACGTATGTCAGGTTATCGCATCAGCCCACGAATGTGAGGAAGCTGTGCTATGTAACTCTTACTCCATTCTCCATGATTGTGTGATGTCCTGACCTGTACCTCCAAACAAAGTATAACTATCCACTGAAAGTTAACTTTCAGGAATGCCAAACAGTGTTCGTGGTGCAGTTGTTTCAGAAACTATCACTGTCATTCCGCTTTGATTTGAGAGTGTAGCTTGTTCCCCAAGCATAGTTACATCGGTCTCAAAAGCGAGGTAAATTTGTGTTTTCATTGTGATTTATT